CTTTTTAATTATTACTCCAAATACCCACAGGATAAAAAAAAAACTGCAATACAAGTGCCTTTTTGAGATTTTTCAAAGTACAAAAAGCTATAGGAACCAAAAATATGAGAAAGGTAATATCCTTTGTGTTGACATGATTAAAATGGAGATGTGTTGGAAATATGGTCAGGATTTTGCTTAAACTTGTGACCATTTTAGAATGACATATGAAAGTGTGAGCAAGTGCCAGCAGGTCTGAAAGATGATATTATTATAACACATTGTAACATGATAGTATTATATAGCCTTTCTTTCTAATATAGAAAGCTGTAGCAAAAATTTCAGTCCAAAGCAAAATAAAATGAAAAAGAGTCTGTTAATACCAAATGGAATAAGGAAGCTCTTGAGGTTCAGTTTTGCCTAGACATATCATACACCTGCCGCAAGATTATCTTCCACCTCCATCAGTTTATTGAAAAACCCTTGCCTTGGCAAATTCCATCTTAATTAATTTTATTGATTTGTAAGCAACATTTGGTAGGATCCACAGAGTCAGAATGCATCACACTAGAAGATACATGACAAATTAATCAATATGATAAAAAAGTTATTACACTGAAAGAAGAGAAGAGGATATTCTAGGTCTGAGAGAACAGCTGAAGTGGACACCAGTTCTTTCAGTCTTAATAGACTGGGCTGTGGAATATTGCAACAAAAATAATAGTAGGTTTCATTTAAAGTAAAGCCAGAGAATAACTGTATGACTTCTAGTTTTGCCATGATAAATACTTTATTAAATAATAGTGAAGTAACTTGTCATGGGGTAAAATATACCAAAGGCTTCAAACAAAGTTAATAAGATAGCACAATTGGCCATATTGTGTCCAACTGAGTGAAATCATGGCTGCTAGGAGTTGTAGGGATATCCATTATCATGATATATCCCCAGAATCCCTTGAGGGAGGGGTTCATGTACACTATGCTTGTGGGGGAGACTGATCCACAAAAGAGGAAAAGAAAATTCCTTCAGGTGTTCCTCAGGCTTCTCCCCCTTCTCAATGGTTTGAAACTGTATTGACAACAAACCTGTGCACTAGTCAGGGAAATCTTGAATATAGTGAATGAAGATGGTACTGCAGGCTTTAAACATGCAGACACTTTAAACTTATTTAATGTGTATTAAGAACAAAATAATCCCTAAATACAAATCCCTAAGGTCATCCCACCTGCCATATTTCAGATATTTAGATTTTATGGTTTTGGAAATATGCCTCTGATAAACTCACCTTTTCTTTTATTATAAATGTATTGGGGTGATTGCCCTAATAGCAAGTATAGGACAAGAGTCAACACACTGACCAAATAGATATGTAAACTTCAAATGTTTCAAATGTTTAATTTGATAACAGAATTTAATAGAACGAAAGAAAAAGAAAACCTTTTTTTTTTTGAGAGAAAATTACAGATTATATAATATAAATGGTGGGGGGACGGACGGGCAAGGGAAGTATTATATAATTTTGTATTGCTTAATTTGTTATCTTGCTCCTTTTTTAAACAAAGTATTTTTAAAAAAGTATCATGCCCTCCCAAAATGTTTCAAATGTTAAACAATTCTTTGATGACTAAATAAATATGCAAACTTAAAATATTAATATCTGGGCTGGCATACAGGATCAGGACTTCTTGGGTGTTAGAAATTTGAGATATCTTACTCCAGAGTGATTTGAGATATCTAAGGTACCTTGCCCCAGATGCTTCAAAGAAGGATTCTGAGATAGGGGAATCTATGAATGGGGTTAGATAACAAATGGGGTAAACACCATTGCACCCCAATCAAGTTGCTTGCTTCAATTTCCCCTCTATATGATGGATATCCAATTGAATGAAATATACTTTTGGTATTGGAGAATAGTGCTGAGAATACCATGGACAACTAAAAAGGCAAATCAGTCTTAGAACAGATCAATCCTAAAATCTCTCTGGAAGCCAAGATGATAAAGTTGAGGTTGTACTTTGGCCACTGCTTAAAGACCTCCAAGGAAGGAGACTCCACCACACTCTGAGGGAGTGTGTTCCACTGTCGAACAGCCCTTACTGTTAGGAAGTTCCTCCTAATGAAAAGAGATTCCACCTCAACGTTAGAAGGAACTTCCTGACAGTAAGGGCTGTTCGACAGTGAAACACACTCCCTTGGAGAGTGGTAGAGTCTCCTTCCTTGGAGGTCTTTAAGCAAAGGCTGGATGGCCATTTGTCGAGGTTGCTTTGATTGGGAGTTGGACTGGATGGCCCTTGTGGTTTCTTCCAACTCTATGATTCTATGATTCTATGATTCACATCATGAGAAGGAACGACTCATTGGAAAATACAATAATGCTAGGAATGTTGGAGGAATATATAAAGAGAGGAAGACTGCATGCCAGATGGATAGACTCTATTAAGGAGGTATGAATTCACAGGACTTAGAGCAGTGGAGAACAGGGATTTCTGGCGATGTCTCATCCACAGGGTTGCCATGAGTCGGGATTGACTCAAAGGCAGTTAACAACAAAAAATACAATTATAAATTGTTCATTAAATTGAAATTGAAAAGGCATCTAAGCTTGCTCCTTAGATGTTAACTCCTACAAAACCACTAGAACTTCCTTCAGAGAAAATATATCAAAAATGGAAAAGTTAACATGATAGTTTGGGCAGAAAAGACAGTAGCATCATCAGTGGATGTAAGGCTGCCATGTATACTGTTGAAATGAGCTGTATAAGGAGCTGCAGCGATGCTGATGCAGTGGCTGACTAATGCTGACATAGTAGGATTGACTAAATGACAAAAGTTGAGGATGTAATGAGAAGTTTGCATGGCTCAGCAGAATTTGGGATTACATTTTGTATCTTTCACTATTTCACATGATTCTGCAGTGCTGGGGAAAGTTACTTCTTTGGACTACAACTCTCAGATCCCCTTCATCTAACTGAATGGGGGATTTTGGGAGCTGTAGTCCAAACCCTCAAAATGAGGACCTATTGATTTGGGAATACAGTCAGCCCTACATAATGGCAGATTCTTTATTCATGGATTCAACCATCCATGGCTTGAAAATATTCAAAACAATATAAATTCCAAAAAGCAAACCTTTATTTTGCCATTTTATACAAGGGACACCATTTTACTATGCCACTGTATTTAATGGGACTTGAGCATTCATGGATTTTAGATCCAGGGGTCCTGGGACCAAGCCCCAGTGGATACTATGGGCCCACTGTACTGGATCCTTTGTCCACCAGTTATGTCCTATGAGGAAATCCAACTAAAATAAATGAGCGTTACAGAAATGAGGTTGAGAGGGTGATTTCTGTAAGATTTCCAGGTAAGACTGTCTGGAGTGAACATTCTGTTTCAGGCAGCCATTCTGACTTGTAAGTGTAGCCCAATGTGTATTTATAGAAAAAAGAGTATATGCATAAAACCAGTTTCAGTCTGTGCTGGTAGGAACACAGAAAAGAATTACATCTTTGCATAAATGCAGGGCTTTTCTTGGATTGGTGGTAGTATAAGTATTGCATGCATCAATTGTTTCAGCATGAAGTTTTAGCTGTTATGAACTGCACCAGATAACATAACTACATCCAAAGTGAATTAAATCACTTCTTGCTTGCTTCTGATATGGTTATGGTTTATTTAGAGCAGGAGTAGTTAATGGATGGATTACGGGGCTGATTTATCTCTTTAGACCCTTCTGAAGAAAGAACTCTACTGACCAAGTTGGATATTTTTTTTTAAAGACCAAGTTAAAACAGTCAACCAGGGAAGTGCATGCCAAGATTTCATATCTGGTGCAATAGAAAGGTCTTTAAAAATTATGAAGAAACAGTTGCCAACAAGTACTAATAAGAAGAAACCTTTGAAAAGGGTTAGTGGACATTTTAGCTTCAATGTCCCACCCCCTTTATGCATCAAAATTGTTTGGTCCTCACTAATATAAAAAGAGGGCATTCTTGAAATTTAAGTTAGATTGGCTGCCATGGTTGCTGTTTTCTGGCTTAAGATCAAGGCAATCAGCAAATGGATTTGATGTCAGGAGATTCTTTGAAGCCAAAATTGGAAGAACCCACTATAAGGGTTGCATGTGATGCAAGCTGATCTGAAACATCCCTAAATTAACAGGATAAGGAAATTTCCTAGGGTCTGAATCAGGACCTAGAGACCATACAATATTGCTGAACATTTTCCCCTCTTTAAAACAGCTAAATATTTAATATTTCCTTCCCTTAGCCAATAATGTTGTTTTCAGGAATAAAATAATACAGGGAATAGGAAGGAACTGAATGGCAAGCTTCCAAGTACATTGAATGAAACTATTACGATGATGAATTATAATTTATTTTGCTGTACCTCACATCAATCTTCTCTGTTTCATTGTTTTTCAGAAGTTCAAAATACAATGATGGTTCAGACAGGATATGGCTCTTTTGCCTTTGTTGAGGTTGGTATATTTGTAAACTTGATTGGCATAGTAGACTAAGGTGCAGGGGCATATGAGGATGCACCTGGAAGCCAGTGCATAGAGTAGAGGAAACTTGGGGAAATTCAGTAGTAAATGAAACTCAAGGTCAAATTTCTCTTAGAAGTTGCATGCCCTTGCATAAGAATATATTAAAATGAAGAAAGGATCTCAAATTGACCTTCCTTCTGGTTTTAAAAACTATCTTAGGAGTTATTTTACTCCATTTTAAATGTTTTTATTTATATATTTAATGTTTTAAATTGTACATTGCCTTGGGGCTCTGGTGAGTTGAAAGGAAAGAGATAAATGCCCTTCCTTCTATAGAAGGATCACAATTCTTACAGCATTAACACAGTTGTTGTTTGGTGTTATGTGCCTTCAAATCATTTCTGACATATGGCTACCTTAAGGTGAATTTATCATGGGGGTTTCTTGGCAAATGTCTTCAGAGAGTTTGCCATTGCTATCCTCTGAGGCTGAAAGAATGTGACTTGCCCAAGGTCACCCAGTAGGTTTCCATGACCGAACCAGGATTTGGACCTGGTTTTTCAGAGTTGTAGTCCAATATTCAAACCACTACACCATTGGATTAAACATATGTGAGCCTGTTAACAGAACTGTGATGAGTAGATACTCATCAGGCTTCTCTTTATCTTCTTTATCTTTCTCCTGCTTGACCTCACTGGGGGCTGGGGGCTTCCATTTCAATGGGGTGGTGAATTCATTCAGCGATTTTGTCTGAACTTTTTGAAAAAGCTATTCAAAGTGCTGACTCTATCTTGGTAGGCAGACAGACTCCAGTCCCTTGGACATCTCTTTCCAAGTTCAAGCTAAATTCTGAAACAGATTCATTCCCCCACTAATAGAGAAACCACCAGTTTGTGTGATCCAGATCTGAATCACACATACATCTGGATCTCTTGTATGTATCAGATATAGAATAGATTTTAAAATTGCTGGCTCTTTAACTAGCATTAAACAAGACTCAACAAGCACTTGGAATTATACTCTTTTCAATATTTAGAGTTTTGAGACACCTTCCCACCCCTGGCCAGATCCTTCAGTCTATTTCTGTCTAGATATGGATGCCCCTGATTGTGATCAACACATTCTGGCAATGTGAAAACATAACTTCTCCAAGGCAGTAAAAATCCAAAGACTTCCATTTGGTTTCAGTCATGACTAAATTATATCAGACAGTTGAACATCAGAAATTTCTGCAGCTTTTTCCTTTTCAGAAGGTATATACAGACCACAATGCAGGGCACAATTATTTGAATGGTTCCATAATATATGATGTTTATATACATGCATTTGTTTGTCATTTGTTATAGTTTTTTTTAACAGAACCCTGCAGAAAGCCTTAAAATATTAACAGATGGAAATGCATCAGGCTTTTAAATAATAAAACATAACCTTATAGCATCTTTCTAGTTTTTGCATTTTCATTGTGACCCTGGTACACAATGTGGGAATCATTCTTTCAGTGCAAAAAACAACTGCTGTGTGTGTGTGTGTGTTTAGTCTGGATCTGAACAGCATCAAAAGTAGCACTTCTCATCTCTGAATTCTACTCAGAATTGTATTTTCACTTGCAATTTACCATTATTATTATTATTAAAGATTATTTCTAAAGCACTGTCAATGTACACAGCGCTGTACAAAGAGATAATCAAAGCATTAAAATAAATAAAATCCTGCCAAAGGCATACAATCTAAAAATACAAAACAATAGGTAAATCGCCTCTTGCTTGCTTCTGATATGGTTATGGTTTAGGTAAAACAATAGGTAAAATAAAAAATAATTAAAAGCAGGGAACAATTAAAAACAATTAAACAAGAAGATCCACTGTCTGCCCAAATAATAGAAGAATATATGTATATTAGACAGTGCCTGGGAGTTAAAGAATGCAAGTAGCTTCTGACCGTGTACATAATGCCACTTAAAGAAAATGATTTTAGGGTTTTTGCAGACATGCTGAAAGGGGTGGCACAGAGTCGCACCTGAGAGTGGCAGATCGGGCTGCAGCAACTGCATGCCACGGCCCCAATCCTCACTTTTGCTACCATCAAAAGAGCAGCAAAATGCTGCTCCTTTTAGGGGCGACAAAAGGCCGTCCTAAGAGCTGGCGCCAGGAAGGCTGGTCTTCTGCGCAAGGAGGGCCCTCCTGGTGCAGAAGAGCTGCGGCGCCAGCTCTTAGGGTGGCCTTTTGCTGCCCCTAAAAGGAGCAGTTCACGGTCACCAGTGCATGGTCAGAATGGGAGATAGGATTGATTTTGACATCAGTGACTTCAGGAAGAAACACTTTGGAAAAGAAAAAATAATCAATCCTAGAGTGTGGTTTATGGGAGTTACAGAAGAAAGTATATTGCCTATCTTGTGGGTGCATGCTTTCCAGGGATCAATAAGGGCAGCTTTGGCAATGATGTTAGGTAGGGGGGAGTCTCTCAGTCTCTTCTTGGTGGGGTAATGAGACTTATCCAAATCATAATCTAAGACTTCATTTGTATCACCACCAATGATGATTTCACCAATTGCATTGTTCTGATGGGTCTTAATAAAGGATTGTAAAAAAGCCTTTTGTTCATTATTGGGAGAATAAGAAGTACCAAAGGTGACTTTCCTGCCTGTGATAGGGCCCCACAAAGTTATAAAGCAACCTGCTGGGTTTCTTATCACGTGTTCTTCTTTAAAAGGGCATGATTTATCAAGCAGAATTGTTACCCTTTTGGCATTCATAGAGTCTCCCACTGTATATTGGGTTGGGAACACTGAATTGGAGAGTATATTCCCTGTTCCCTTCCTATGCATCTCTTGCAGAAATGTGATGTGGGGTTTTAATTTCCTCAAGTAGTTTGTAATTCTTGCATGTTTAGGGATATAGCCTAGCCCCTTAACATTAAGTAAGACTATCTTAAGGTTGGGGTGGGGTGGGGGTTGCATAGAGAGCCACATTAACACAAGTCTACTCTTTACAAGTGAATGGGGTTTAGCATACATAGGCACAACTGAGACTATTCTGCAAGGCTGGAATGCAAATAACAAAAATATAACTACATAAACATTAAACTTTAAAAATATCATCACTAAGAGGACGAGCTCCTGTTCTGTGTCACAGGACCCCATCAGCGCAAGCATGGCTGAACTCCTCAGGTGGGAAATGGGAATGGGTGAGTAAGTATAGGGTGCTTACTCCAAATGAAATTAGAAGTTGAACATAAATATAAATACATTGAAGCAGTGCAATACATTTTCATTACTTTTCACTGAAATGATATGTATAATAATTATATGTAAAATAATTAATAAGAAAGAAATTGGTACATTATGTGGCAGGCTCCACTGGGGGAGTAGTAGTAATGTGCAACAAAATGGGAGCTCAGAAGATCACTTCTGCAGGACAGCAACAAGAGAACAAGAAAAACCAAGATGGCTTCCCACTTAGCTCTTTGACTCTAAAGTTAGTTATCCAACATCCAGGGTGAGTCAGTGTTTGTTAATCTGCTCCATTTCATCAGTACTTGATAGATCCAGCTTGAAGGGTGCCCCTCAGTCTGTTAGAAGTGATTTCTTCATGCTTGCATTTCTTTTCCTTCTAGTGATAATCTTCCATTCAGAGGTATTTTGATTCAATCTGGGTGTACCTTCATCTTTTGCCTCTTTTGCTAGGTCCCTGGGTATTCTTATGTCCAGAGCTTCACAGATCTTGATCAATTCGCTTTTAGTCGATGTGATCATGTTTCTGTTCTTGTGGGTGACAATTGGCTTAAATGGGAAGCCCTATCTGTATTTTATCCCAGCTTCTTATAGAAGGAAGGTGAGTGGTTTGAGGTTACGTCTTTGCTTCAGCATCTCAGATGAAAGATCCTGGTATACCTGGACTTTGTGACCATTCTATGATAAGTCATTAATAGGTGAGAGGTTGCTCAGAACTAGAGATTTTGTGGGGTAATGTGCAAATCAGATCAGTATATCCCGTGGTTGCATGGATGTTCTCAGTCTTGGGACAAGTGATCTATGAATCCTTTCTATGTCTGAATTTCTGAGGTTTAAATTAAGGCAGATGTCATTAATCCACTTAATCATACAGGATAGAAGTCTAACTGATTCTTCATGCTCCTCCACACCTCTCAAGCAGATGTTGAGGTGGAGGTCTCTGTTTTCCAAATGCTCAATTTTTGTTTGAAGCTGGTCAAGAGAGTTTTCTAATATTTCAGTCCACAGCATCTTCTATGTCTCTAATCCATCTTGTTAGGGCTGATAGCTTGGCATCTACCAGCTCAAGGGCAGCAGCCCAGTCCTTTTGGAGGTCTTTCACTAAATTCTCTCTTAGTTTCTCCAATAAGTCGGAAAAGGGACGTCTGCTGGTGTGGAGTGTCTGTTATTCCCTCATTTGTTCATTCTGTTAGGACCATGCTCCATCTTTGATTCCTCTGATGAATCTGTCTCATCTGAGGATTGTCTAGGATCTTTTGCTGAAATGCAGAATTCTGCAATCTTTTGATCCACCAAGTGTTTTGTCCCTTGCATTGGGGATCCCTTGGCAATAAAAGTTTAAGGATCTGTCACTGAAAAGTGCTTCAGTTATTCAAAATGTCATTGAAGCCAAGCTCCTTTCATTATTATTGGATCATCGACCATGCCCCTCCATTTGTGAACCACTAAATGGGTGAAGACTGCATGGAAGTTGCATATTGCCCATTGCCACTCTAGAAAAGAATATTCAGTATTTTCAAAAGTTTTGTTTGTAATGAAGGATTTCACATTCCACCAGCTACTCAGGGATTTTGCTGTACTTAATGGCATTAAAATATTTTCTAATACTACTAGGTAAATTTCTGTCTCCAAATAAAGATCTGACTCTGCATCTCTGTCTGTCTGTCTGTCTGTATGTCTGTCTGTCTATCTATCTATCTATCTATCTATCTATCTATCTATCTATCTATCTATCTATCTATCATCTATCATCTATCTATCTATCATCTATCTATCTATCTATCTATCCATTCCAATATTATAATTAGCATTTTATAATCAGTACTGAAAAGTTAGTAAAAATGAAGTCTTACAAGATCTGCAGCTCACAGAATCAAGATGATTTTGACTTAATTCCAAGATTCAGTAGTAGTGTTCTGAATAGTGCAGTAACCAAATAAATCTATTAAAAGGTGTGCAAGTATTAGCACATAAGTTTGATAAAATTGGTCAGTAAAGCTGTCAAGACCAAGGACTCTTATTTTTCCCCCAGTGAGTTAACATGTTTTATTATTAGAGAGTAACTGGTACATTTAGCTTTCAATTAATTTTAAAAGACACTATAGGAACCTGACTATTGTTTAAATAAGAGGCTATTTCTGCTGCTTGAGTGCTCTCTGTTTGATATAACTGCAGCACATAAAATGGGGTGAATCCAATATTTGTATCTTCTGTTTTCTTACCTAATTCACCAGAACTTTACTTAATCAGTTAATGTTTAGTTTTTGCTTCTTTGTAAATTAGTTCATCAAACATTTATCCAATTTTGCTTCTTTCTTAAAAAAAAAAAAGACTTTCCTTCAAATATACTGTTCCCCTTGAATTCCCTAGTTAT